CATATCTCTTGATATTGGATGAAAATTACCGAAATAATTAATAATCCAGATCTGCCATTTTCTGTTAGCAATGCAGGCTGTGAATATAAATACGCGTCATATTTTAGGCATATGCACAACTCAAGATCCATACAAAACATGACATCCATTCCAGATCACATAATCTACCATATCCTCCTCCAACTGCCGGTAAAATCCCTTGTAAGGTTCAAGTGCGTAAACAAGAATTGGTCATCGTTTGTCGCCCATCCAGATTTCATTAAAACCCACTTGGATTGCACAAAAACCCAATCTTTAATCATTTCATGCTTAGAGCACCAAAATCTTCATACCAGCATCATTCGCTTCTTCTCCATCAGAGTCATTAACGAAGTTTCAGACATTGAATTCTCAGCTTCTTTTCCTGTCCCTTTCGACTCTTACCATGTATTACCCTCTTGTAATGGTCTGATCTGCTTCTACGGTTCTCATGGCGGGATTCACGTTTGCAACCCTGCTACCAGGAAGATGGTAACACTGCCGGACAGCCGTGGCGCAGGTTGTTAATTAATCTTTAATTACTTTGCTCATGCATATGCATTCATTTGACTATTAGCTAAAATTCAAACTCTGAATGTTGAGGTTTTGATTGGTTGTGCAGATGTTCAATCTTCGACTTGCGGATTGGGATTCGACAAAATAACTAGTAAGTACACAGTCGTTAAGTTTTTAAAGCCTTCCGATATGGATGATGATGTTTCAGATAGCCTGAGGCTCGAGGTTTTTACCATGGACGAAGACAATTCTTGGAGGACAGTAAGGTTCCAGCCTCCGTTTCGCTTCCCCCATCGGCAACCACCGGTGTTTGCTGGTGGCTTCTTTTACTGGATCTCCAACCCCGTTGTTGACTCTTCTGGTTTTTCAATAATTTCATTCGACGTGGGACATGAAATTTTTGGAGTAATAAGGCCACCGGAAAGCCTTTTGAGGAAGAATTGGTATTTGTTTTCTCTGGTGGAACTTGGAGGGAAGTTATGTTTGGTAGATTTGGATTTTGACGTTGTGGATAAGAAGAGGATGGATATTTGGATTTTTAAGGGAAATGTTGATTTCGACGGAACGCATGACTTGTGGCTGAGGGAAACTATAATTCATTCAAAGGAGTCTATTGGCTGCACCTTGCCGGTTGCGGTTGTGGGCGGAGAAATTTTGTTGCACGGATACGTGAAAGGGTTAGGTGAATTGAACTTTTATGATCCAAAATTGGGTCGATTTAGGGAGTTGGAGATTGGAAAGGTTTCATGGCAGTATTTTCATGTAAGTTCTTATGTGGGAAGCATAGTACCTGTCTCAAATAATCAATAATGAATCGATGTGTTTAATTTAAGGTAATGATACGGAAACAATTTAAAATTTTTTTTTGTCTCATTATTCTGGTTGCTTCATGGTCTGTGTGGTCTGTCTGAAACAATACAAGAAAATCCGCATTTAACAACTAAATTATTAGGCCACTAAACTCTTGCTTTTCATCCCAAACTAAAATTTGTAATAAAATTTAAATTATGAGTAGAACCATTGTCTCTAATGCTTTTAGTTATGAATTTAGCACATGTCACAAAAAAAAATTTTATAGTTTCGAAAAAAAACTATATTATTAATGCGTTATTTGTAATAAATTTACTCATCACAAAAAAATGTTTTTTGTTACACTAATTTTTAGTACAAATGTTATAATTCAGTAACAAAAAGAAAAGTCACAAATGCAATTGCGACGAAAAATTTAGTCATTAATTATTAAAACTAATATTAAATCAAAAAGGGTATTTATGTAATTACAACACAAATATTGTAACAAAAATTCTGTCACAAAAAAATTGATATATATATATTTGTCACAAAAGTTTAATAAAAAAATATTATTATTTCAACACTAATAAATTTTGATTAAAATTAATCAAACCAAAACTAAGCTTAAGTTTTATTGGGCTTTACATTATATTACTCAAATAGAGCTCAAATAAATAAAATGAAGTACAAATGTCAATCAATTGGTTCGAAAGTAGTTAC